TTATTTGAATTTACCATTTGCCATATCGAGATGAAAATTATGCATTACTTTCAGTCTACATAATGCAAGAATCCTATTAATAGTTTATAATTATTTATACTATATCAGAAAAAATCCTAAAAAGTATATCATGAAACATTGTTGAAGATCCAATGAGATGCAACTTGAAATGCAATAATAAATATTAAATTAAAATAATCCAGAATTTAAATTTTTATTAAATTATAATAAAATTAAACCCTTGATGAAAATTAATGCAAGCTCTTAGTCATTTTAAAAATTTTGCTGGCATATATTTTGATGAACTCAATTTCAAAGATTATTTAATTGATCTTTTCATAATCCAAATATAAATAGCACGTTTAACTAATATCATTCAAAGGAATCAAAAACTTTATAATGAGTGTCAGTTTTTCTAAATCTTCTTAGAATTCATTATCAAATTTTTAGATTCTTTAATCTCTATAAATAATTTTGCATTAATTCGAATTGAAAAATTTATTAAAGATGAAACTAAAATATTTCATCCTTAAGTTTCTCAAATATAAATGCTTCAATTTGTATCGATTAATCTTCAAATTAAACACAAAAAATTGATTATTATGCTTATATATACAAAAGGATCTTTAAAATAATGAATAATGAAGTAATTAATCCTTAAAAAGTCAAATTTATAGAATTTTTATTCCGAATTAATTATTTCACAAATTTTATAGAAGAACATAATATTTTTTTCATTTCCAAATAACAGTTATTACACTGAAGTATAAACTAATCATATTTCATTTTAGACAATTAAAAAGAAAACTTGATACAATCATAATCACTTTTATAATTGCTCAAAAACTCCAATTATTTTTCTTAGAATTATTGAAACTTGATAACACAAGTGATAGAAGTGAAATATTAAAAAAGTGAAAAGATAGATAAGGTAATAGAAGCTCAGCTGATGAAGCTTTTACCTAGAGCAATTTGAGAAAAAATTAAAGTTCGAAACTTTTTTTATTGAGAATTCAAATTTAATAAATTTAATAGTAATTAGAAATTTTTATGATTTTTTAATTAATTATGATGTAAGGAAAAAATTGAAAATAATTTAATATTCTTTATTTTATATTCCTTAGAATTTCTAATAATAGGTAGATTATATTTCTAATATCTTTTATATTTCTGTTTCTGGCAATATTGCAATAGCTTTTAAATAAATAGAATATCTTATCAAAATTTGAATTCCCTCCTTGCTTGTAGAAATTTTTTTAAATTTGCAAAATATAATTAAATATATTTAAAGACAAAAAAAACATTATTTCTAAAATTTTAATAAAGTTTAAGTAAATAGCATTATAAAACTATTTGTTTTACAATTATAATATTAAGAACATGTGCATTTTTTACTATTTATTAATTATTCCAATCATTCTAATAGCTATGCTCCTGTATTTCTAAAGTGACAGATATTGTTTTAAAAAATCTAATTGAAGGAATAAATTTATAAGGAATTCTAAATTCTTTTGCTCAAATGTCAGGATTATATCTATCTTCTGATTAATGGTAGTTAATCTTTGATAATCCATTTAAATTTTATCTAAGTATGATATCGAAAATGTGATTGATGTATCAACTTGTTTTCGCCATTTATTGAGTCTATTACAATGTAATTAAACTTCTGGAATTCTTATAACTATCTCCTTTAAATTATGTCAATATTAGATAGCTCGAAATAATTCCCTGAAAAATTTGTTTGTCATCAAAAATAGAAAAATACCAATTCTAAGCCTAAAGATTTTCTTCTTAAAAGGTTTGCTTGCGAATAGCATCAAATATGTAGTAAAACAGGGCTAGTGGAGTATAATGGAGTATAAGTAGGGCAGCAGTAGCAAAGATTAAAATGAAAACACTAGAGCAAGGACCTTTCCTATAGAGTAAGTTTCATTAATGAAGACAAATCTGCAGTATGTTAAGAGTACTATTTTTCAGGAAAAAAATAATTAGGTTTAATTAAATGAATAAAGAGGCTTTAAAATTTTTCTAAATAAGAATTATACTGAAGAAAGGGAAAAGAAAATTACAGCAATTATCTAATAGAAAATTAAATCAAAATTCCACAAATAAAATAAATATCATTTATTTTTTTATCAGAAAAACTAGATTAAAAAGTTAAACTTTTCTTGAAGAACTACTTTTTACCTTTTGTCATTAATAATAATAGATTGAAAAAAATTATAATTTAATATTTGTAATGTACTTGTGAATAATCAAATATACAATTAATATTCTAAAAAGCAACTTCCTTTTTTTTTAAATAATGATTTTAAGTCCATTCCGGATTGATTCTAAAATTATCCTTTGAGAACTAAAGCTCCTTAAGCTTAAAATATAGTCTATTTGGATATAAGGAGAATAGTAATTTGAGTGGTTACTAAAGAAAATTAAAATATATACCTCTTTCTTGAAGAGGATTGTTTTTACTGAGAGGAGTTTTAAATTATGTTAACGCTATTTCGTAA